TGGGCAACCAGGAAGTGGCCCTAACCTCAGACCAGACCAATTCAAGGATCTTCTAGGGCAAACATTTTCTATAAAGATCCAAATATGGGCTGGCTTCGGCAGCACATATACTAAAATTGGAAAGATCCAAATATTTCTGTGAGTATAAGGTAGACAGTTTGTCACAACTATTTCACTCTGTAAAAGTAGCCACAGGCAATCCATAAACCAATAGGGACTGCTGAGTTCCAGTAACATTTTACTTAACAGCTGGGGATTTAGCTCAGTGGTTCAGCCGCCTGCCTGCTCAAGGTCCCGAGTTTGATCCTGGTACCAAAGAAACCAAACATTTTACTTAACAAGTGAAAGTAGCCTGCTAATTGTTGCCAGGACCCAGTTTGCTGATCCTTATCCTAGCTAGGGTGGCAGGGACTTGCAGCTCTAATCCAATGTGTGAAGCTTAAAGCCTCTCCGGACATTCCCAAACTAACACACACTGTTCTATTCCATATGGGCCCCTGGCACCAGACTGGCTTCCAAGCAGCAGGTTCAAGGACACCTACAGCTGGGTGTGGTGGCGCACACCTGTAAGACAGCATTTGAGAGCTGAGGCAGGAGGATCACAAGCTCAAGGCCAGCCTGGGCTACATATTGAGTTCAAGGGCAAGCTGAACTATACAGCAAGATCTTGTCTCAAAAACAAAAACAAGATGTACATCTACATTCTCTTCCCTCATTGTAGCCTGACCCAGAGAACAAGGACCATCATTATGGTTTGTGTCTAGGTGTCCTCCCAAAGTCTGCTACTGTCATAGGTGAGGCATTTTGGTGACTGGGTGTGGAGTGTGCAATGCTGTGATCAAGGGTGTGTGATTATTAAATTAGTCCTCTGATTTGTTTAGCATAGTTCTGGGTAGGATTAAGGGTGCCTTACTCTAGCTCTGAGTGCTGTCTGCTCTAAGGGCAGGTAAGCTGGATAAGATATAAGGGAAAGAAAGAAGGTCACCTATTGCTTGCTGCTTTCTACTTCAGAGCTTTGCTACCTTCTGCCTGCCAGGAACTGTTTGTTCTCTGCAATGCCCCCTCTGCCATGCCACCCTGCCTCGGAGCCAGTCAAGTATGAACTGAAACCTCTACAAACTGTGAGCCAAATAAACCCTTTCCTCCTTTAACTTTGGGTGTCAGGTATTTGTCTCAGCAATGAGAAAAGTAATTAAGATAACCATAGCATAAATCCATAGACTGGGCTGAATTCAGCTAGGCAAAAGAACTGAGTTGAGTTCAGCAGCAGAATATCAAAGAGTTATCAGCCAATGTTCACTTTAAAGGCTTTGAAATTTATATATATTAGGGCTGGAAACTTAGTTCAGTGGTTCTGGAGCCTGCCTCGAAAGCACAAGGTCCTGAGTTTGATCCCCGGTACCAAAAAAAAAAAA